ATTCTGTTTCATCTTTTTCTTGTATCTGTTTTGTGAGCTTATCCATTTCCGCACACTCCATAATTTTTCTAATCACCTTGTCCTCTGATAGTGTATCATTGTTTTTCCAGTTTTGGGCGAAAACTATTCATGCTGCTGTAATTATGTGAATAATTAAGTATCTTATTTCTTTTTCATATGACCTGGTAATTATTCCCAGTAGGAAAGTTTCTGGCCTCATTTCTATTTGTTGATTTATAACTTCTTCTATTTGTGTTTTAATTGTTTGCCAAAATTGTTTTGCCTTATGGCAGAATCACCACATGTGATAATAAGTTCCTTTTTGATGTTTACATTTCCAACATAGCAGGGAGGTATTTGGAAACATCTTTGCCAATCTGGCAGGTGGGAGATGCCACCTATAAAACATTTTATATATATTTTCTTTATAGGGTACAGACATTGTTAGTTTGTAATTTATATTCCATAATTTCTCCCATTTATCTAATTCAATATTGTATCCAAAATTTTTCGCCCAAATTATCATATTTTCTTTAACTACCTCTTCTTCCAATTTGTATCTTAATAGATAGTTATATGTTTTTTTATCAATTTATCCTCTGTTCCATGAAGAATTTTATCTAATTCATATGTTCCCTTTTGAAATCCAAATTGTGCCAAATCTGTCTTGTATCTAGATTTTATTTGCATATAGGGCCATCTAATATGTTTTTATATGTTACTATTTTTCCCCAGTTGATAAGATTTGGATATACCACCACTTCTAGAGTGGAAAGCTAGATCAATATTTCCCTATAATTCTGGTTTTTTTTATTTTGTTCCATATCCCCAATAGAGCCTGTTGTATATAATGTCTTTGGAAGTATTAATGTGCTTTATGTCTTTCATACCAGAGGAATGCATGCCATCCTGCTTAAATATTGTGACCTCCTAGTGATAATAATCTTTTGTTTTTTAGGATTATCCATTCTTTGACCCAGGTGATCATTGCCACTTGGTAATATAATTCCCAATTGGGCAAACCAAACCCTCCTCTTTCTTTGGTCTCCTGAAGAGGTTTCAATTTCTTGACTTTTTCTCCTGCCATATAAATTTCAACACAATTTTATTCAGATTATCAAAGTACTTTCTCTCAATTTTATATGTATATTTTGGAATAGGAAGAGTAATTTTGGCAGAACACTCATTTTAATTGTCGCATTTCTATCCATAAAGGGGAGTTGGATGGTTTTCCATCTCTCTGTCTGCCTTTATCTGATTTAATAATTTAATATAATTGTCCTCCTTAATTGTTGTGCACCTTGCTATCAAATAAATCCCTAGATACTTTACCTTTTTTGCTAGTTGAATATTTATTCCCTTGGTCAAATCATATTTCTGTTTGTTAGTCATATTCTTAGCTATCATTTTGGTTTTCTCCTTATTTACTTTTAGTCCAGCTACTTCTCTGTATTCCTCCAGTACACCTCCATGAGCCTCAAGCCTGATTGCAATGGACAATTGGAAAAAACTACAACTGTCTTTGCTGGGAAGGATAGCCGCTGTAAAAATGAATATTTTACCAAAATTTCTATTTCTTTTTCAAATGATACCTATACTTAAAAAAGATGAAAACTTGAAGGAATGGCAGAAGGGCATAAATAAATTTGTGTGGGCAGGGAAGAAACCACAAGTCAAACAAAAGATATTGCAAGATACTAGAGAAAGAGGTGGTCTTAAGATGCCCAATTTAAGATTGTATTATGAAGCTGCTGCCCTCTCAGCAATCACAGTTTGGATAAACTTAACGGAGGGAAAGATATTGAATATTGAAGGATATGGTTTGGTTTATGGCTGGCATGCTTACTTAGTGTATGATAAGAAAGTAGATAAGACTTTTAAAAGTCATATATTAAGAAATGCTCTATTGCGTGTCTGGAAAAAGTATAAATATAAACTAAATGATAGGTTACCAATATGGACAGTACCCAGACACGCGATAGAGAACATAAATTTAGAGCAAAAGCAAGATAAGATTACATATAAGGAACTCCTTTATAAGGAAGGAGTCAGATTACAGTTAAAATCCATGGAACAATTAAGAGAAGAAGGGATTATTAGGACTTGGTTTCAATATGGACAGCTGCTGGCCAGATGGAGAGAAGATCAAAAAATTGGTATTTTGCAGCAGGATGAGAATTTGATAAAGCAAATAAGAGATGAAGGTCAAATGCACATAAAAAGGTTGTACAATGCATTACTGGAAATAGATTCAGAAACAGATTTAGTCAAGGATTGAATGATAAAATGGGCACAAAATGTAGGTGAACCAATAATGATGGAAACATGGGAAAAGATATGGGTTAGAAATGTAAGATTTACACAAGCACAAAATCTAAGGGAGAATTTTTACAAAATGTTTTATAGATGGCATTTAGATCCAAAAAAAACTAGCTTGTATGTATCCAAATTTACAACCCAAGTGTTGGCGATGTGAATGTGAAGATGCTACATATTTTCATATATGATGGACATGTAAAAAGATTAAGGCTTTTTGGATAAAAATATGGTGGATTATTCAAAATATTTTGAAGAAAAAAATTAAATTTACACCACAGTTTTTTCTGTTGGGAATAGTTACGGATTGTACTGTAATAGAGACTAAGCTGGTTTTGAACTTAATAACGGCTGCCAGGTTACTGGTGGCACAGTACTGGAAGAAGGAAGATCCACCTACTATTGAGGAATGGACATTAAAAGTTGTGCATTTGGCGGAAATGGCAAAAATTTCATCATACCTTAAAGACCATTCAAATGAGAGATATATATCGGAATGGAGAAGATGGACTGATTATATAGAGAAGAAGTATCCGAATAAGAAGATTCACATAGCTTATGAATGAAATAATTTTAAGTAGTTTATGTTTGTTTTTTCTGAATTATAAGGAGTTAAGGACCTAGGGAGAATATGAAATGTAATAATTTGTTAGCATATTTTAGTTTTTGGTTTGTGAATGTTATACCCTGTGCTCGTTCTGGGAAGTCTAGGGAGGGGGGGAGGGAGGGGAAGGGAGGGTGGGAAGGGTGGGGTTGAGGGGGGAAGGGTGGGGGTGTGAAAATGTTTGTATTTTTTATAAAACTTTTCAATAAAAAAAAAGCCTGATTGCAATGGTTCCTCTAGAATGAAAACTGGGCCTGGTGGCTCAGCAGACTGATAGCATTGTGATTAACACCAGCTGTCTGCAATTACTGTAAATTCGAATCTCACCAGGCTCAAGGTTGACTCAGCCTTCCATCCTTTCTAAGGTAGGTAAATTGAGGACCCAGTTTGTGGAGGCAATAAGCTGACTTTGTATAAATATACAAAAGTATGAAGGCTATTGCTTAATGCATTGTAAGCCGTCCTGAGTCTCCGGAAAAGAGCGGCATATAAATCAAATTTAAAAAAAAATCGTCCACTAAAGCTTGCAATTTATAACTTTCTCCTTTAATTTTCATTCCTTTAATCTGTGTGTCTTTTATTATTATTCTTGTTAGTACTTCCAAAGTCAATATAAATAGCAATGGGGATAGTGGACACCCTTGTCTTGTGCCTTTTCAGATTTTAAAATTTTGTGTCACCTCTCCATTCACTATTACTCTGGCCTCCTGTTTGGAATATATTGCCATAAACGTTTTTAAAAATTTTCACCAAAATCCATATATCTTAGTTGTTGCAACATAAAATTCAGTGGTGAAATCCTCCAAGGATTGTCACCGGTTCGCTGCCTGCACATGCGTGCTGTGCGCCAAAATGTGTGCTGTGCGCACGCATGTGCAGCATGTGTCAAAAGCACACTGCACGTGGAAAAAGAAGACTTCACTAGGTAAGTAGAACAGCGAGGGGGGGGAACAGCTGTGTCGCACAATTTAGCTTCACTAGAAAGCAGTATTTCCTGCTTTCTAGCGAATATAAACTGCACGGCACAGCTGATTGTCAGAAATACCGGTTCAGACGAACCGGTAGCCTTTTTAAACTACCAGTCTGAATGAACCAGTAGCTTTTTTTTACTACCGGTTTTCCTGAACCAGTAGTTTTTATCACTACTGGTTTGCCCAAACCGGGGTGAACTGATATCTGTCAGGTTTCGGTGTTATCTTAAATAAACTTCATTCTCAAACGCAAAGTCTCTGATGAATCTTTTCTTTGTTTAAGAATAGAAACAACGTCATTCCTGAACTCTTTATGCAGCCAAAACTGGCACCCCCTTCCAAACCCCTCCCTTTCCGTTCTTCATCCCCAATGTCTCATTGGCCATTGTGCAGATCCATCTCTCCGTCCCAAGCACTTTCTATTCACAGGAATTCCCCCCTCCCTTTATCTCCTAAGCAAAGTTATCTACCAAGGAGCAAGTAACTAAGTGAAAGTTCATCTCAGCATTAAAGCAAGGCTTCTCCCTCTCTCATTCATGTCAGGGTTGGAGGAGATCATAAATTGGAACGCTGACATCAGCATTTCACCCCTGATAAAATTCCATTTGACATTATTGAAGGCTTTTTGGGCATCTAAGAACATCAATACCTCTTGTGTCTTGCTCTGTATTTTGTAATATTTTAGCATATCAAGCATTATTCTCATATTGTTCCTAATTTGTCTTTTTGGCAGAAAGCCATTTTGATCCACATGTATAAATTCATTTAAAAACCTTCTCAGTCTTTCAGCTATTATTGATATAAATATTTTATAATCTGTATTCAACAACGAGATAGGCCTATAGTTTTAATTAAAGTTAAATCAGTGTTTTCTTTCAAAATCAATGTAATATTTGCTTCTGCCCATGATAGCGGAGTCTTTGCATCATTTAACACTGCATTGTATACCTCAAGCAACACTTGTCCAAACTTGTCTTGTAATTTTTTATTATTATTATTTTTAATTTGATTTATATGCTGCCCTTCTCCAGAGACTCAGGGAGGCTTACAGTGCATTAAGGAATAGCTTTCATACTTTTGTATATTTTATACAAAGTCATCTTATTGCCTTCACAAACTGGGTCCTCAATTCTTTATACATTTCTACTGGCAACCCATTCGGGCCTGGTGTTTTGTTATTCTTTTGTTTTTTTTATTGCCTCTATTAATTCTGGCATCCTTATTTCTTCATTTAACATATTTTGTTAAATGTTTTGACATATGCGATCACGGATTTGATTGGCCTGAGGAATGTCCCCTATTTCTGGGAGTGGCCTGCTGGCCTGTCAAAGATCTACCTTAATGACAGGTCTTGGGATCCTGAGAGGTGGCATACGGGTTCTAGGGGTTTTAATAAGGGGGCTTTGTATAGTTTTTTATCTAAGTTTTTAAGGGGATTGGGGAGGGGGGAGGGTTATGATATCCAGCAGGCTGCTGGGGGGGGGGGGCTCCTCCGGACCAATGGCAGTCCAGGCCGTGGATGGGTAGCGGTGGGGTTGGAGTGGGGCTGGGGTCCCCGGATGCCCCGGGGGAAAGGGTCGGAGCTCTGATCCTAGTTGCGATGGGGAATGGAGGCAGATGGATGAACCGAGGGCTGTATCAAAATCTGGGAGCTCGCCCTCACTATCTTCGAGCGGTGACATGCTCCGACCCTCTTGGTTCCATCCGACTTCCTGGGGGTTTGAGAGAGGAGATCACTGGGCTCAGGCTGGTCTATTTTAATGCCAAGTCTGTGGTTAACAAAACTCCCCTCATTCGTGAGTTGATTGAGGAGGAAAACACAGACCTGGCTTGCATTACGGAAACCTGGTTGGGCTCAGAGGGAGGTGTCCCTCTGACAAAACTCTGCCCACCAGGTTTCCGGGTGCTACACCAGCTGAGGGCCCAGGGTAGGGGAGGGGTGGTGGTGGTTGTTATTCGGGAAGTCCGCGGGAGGTCACTGTTCCCCAGATGGATGGGTGTGAGGCCCCATCTCCTCATGAGATGGGGCCCGCAAGGGCAGTTGGGCCTGTTGATTGCGTACCTGTCTCCCAGCTGCGTAACAACGGCCCTGCCCGGGCTACTTGACGCCCTGTCAGGGCTGGTGGTGGAGTTTCCCAGACTTATTGTACTGGGGGACTTCAATCTGCCTTCCCTGGGTGGGGGGTGTGTGTGGCTCAGGAGTTCATGGCTTCCATGGTAGCCATGGGCATGACTGAGATTATTCAGGGCCCGACTCATGAGGGGGGGGCCACACTCCCGATCTTGTTTTTATCTCGGAACAGTGGCGGGCTGAGTTTGGTGGGGGAATTTTTGCTATTTACCCCCTGTCATGGACTGATCACTATCTCCTTCGGCTAGGCTTCCATTATGCCACCCCTCCTCACTGGGATGCGGAACCAACCACCTGGTTCCACCCCAGGCACCTGATGGACCCGGAGAGGTTCCAGATGGAGCTTGGAAGGATACCTCTCTCTCTCTCCCACGCCCCGGTCGCAGCCCTGGTGGATGCCTGGGATGAGTCGGCCGCCGGGGCTCTTGACCGTGTCGTGCCTTTGTGGCCTCTGACTCGACGCAGATCTCGGTTGGCTCCTTGGTTTACCAGGGAGCTCCGGGGGATGAAGCGCCGGAGGAGAGGCCTAGAGAGCTGTTGGAGAACCAGTCATTCCGAATTTGACTGAGCACAGCTGAGGTCGTTCGCACGATCTTATCTGTTGGAGCTGGCGGTGGCAAAGCGTTGCTACTTCTCCGATATCATCACGTCTGCAGATAATTGCCCGGCTGCCCTGTTTAGGGTGTCCAGCTCCCTCTTGAATCAGAGGGTGGGGGAGGACCCTTTGTGAGGGTGAGCCGAGGAGTTTAGTCAGCATCTGCTGGACAAGATTGCTCAGACTCGGGATGGCTTGGACTGTTACTGGACAGGATCAGACGGTGGGGAGGCGGCGGGTCTTGTCATCTGGGAGGAGTTTGATCCTGTTACCCCTGAGGAAGTGGACAGGATCATGGGGAAGCTGAGTGCGACCATGTGTGTACTGGACCCGTGCCAGTAAACTGGCTGGTTTATTCAGCTCGGGAGGTGACACGTGACTGGATCCAGGCAGTGATAACTGCTTCCTTGGAGGAGGGAAGCTTTCCTGCCGCCTTGAAGGTGGTGGTGGTTAGGCCCCTCCTCAAGAACCTGCCTTGGATCCAGCTATTTTGAGTAATTTCCATCTGGTCTCCAACCTTCGCTTTCTTGCAAAGGTTGTTGAGAGCATGGTGGCATGTCAGCTCCCGGTGGCCCTGGATGAAGTGGAGTACCTTGATCCATTCCAATCGGGTTTCAGGCCCGGATTCAGCACGGAGACGGCATTGGTCGCGCTAGTGGATGATCTCTGGAGGGCTCGGGACAGAGGTTACTCCTATGTTCTGGTCCTATTAGATCTTTTGGCGGCTTTTGATTCCATTGACCATGGTATCTTGCTGCGACACCTCAAGGGGTTGGGAGTGGGAGGAATCGTTTTGCGGTGGTTCTCCTCTTACCTCTCAGGTTGTATGCAAGCGATGTTGGCGGGGGCAGAGGTCGACCATGAGGCCTCTCACTTGTGGGGTGCCACAGGGGTCGGTCCTCTCACCCCTTCTGTTCAACATTTATACGAAGCCGCTGGGAGAGATCATCCGTGGTTTCGGGGTGAGGTATCATCAGTATGCTGATGATACCCAGCTGTACATTTCCACCCCGAATCAGCCCAGTGATGCCCTCAACGTGATATCCCGGTGCCTGGAAGTGGTGCAGGTCTGGATGGGGAGGAATAGGCTTCGGCTCAACACTGCCAAGACCGAGTGGCTGTGGGTACCAGCATCTTGGTCCGATAGAGAGGTTCCATCTTTGGCTATACGGGGTGAAGTTTTGCCCCCTGTAGACAGGGCACGCAACTTGGGTGTCCTCTTGGGCTCACTGTTGAGTTTAGAAGATCATATAACAGCTGTGACCAGGGGGGCATTTGCCCAGGTTCGCCTGGTGCGCCAGTTGCGCCTCTATTTGGACCAAGATGCTCTACGCAGAGTTATTCATATGCTAGTCACCTCCCGTATTGACTACTGCAATGCTCTCTACTTGGGGCTGCCCTTGAAGACCACTCGGAGGCTTCAGCTGGTACAGAATGCGGCTGCGCGGGTTGTGATGGAGGGTGCAGATACTCCCATGTTACACCTCTTCTGCGCGACTTGCATTGGTTGCCGGTTGCCCTCCGGGTGAGATTCAAGGTGCTGGTGATGACCTATAAAGCCCTACATGGCTTAGGCCTAGGATATTTGTCGGACCATCTATAACCAGCAACAGCTTCCCATCACCCAGTGCATTCTCACAGGGAAGGCCTACTCAGGATGCCATCGGCTAGACAATGTCAGCTGGCAGCCTCCAGAGGTAGAGCTTTCTCTGTGGGCACACCCACCCTTTGGAATCAACTCCCCCTGGGGCTCCATTTGGCCCCTGACCTTCGCACTTTCCACTGCGAACTAAAGACATGGCTGTTTAAATCGCCCAGCCTGGACTGATGGGGTTTGATTATTTTAATGAGTTTTAACATACGTTTAATTTGTATTTTAATATGTTTTTATCTGGTTTGATTTTGTTTTGAGCTGCTCTGAGTCCTATGGAGATAGGGCAGCATACAAATCAAATTAAATAAATAAATAAAATATTTTTTGTTTCTTTAGGCAGCGAGGCTTTCCTTAAACAGTTTATTGCTTTATCTTTTGAACATCTGTCTTAACATCATACAGTTTCTTATAATATTCCTGCACTATGTTCTTTTTCTCCTCATTCTGATAGCACATCTCTCCTTCCTCATTTTGCAGTTTATTAATCCATCTTTTCTCCTTATGTTTCTTCAATTTATATGCTAACCACCTCCCTGGTTTATTTGCATTCTCAAAGAAGTTTTGGTTAATTTGATGTTTCCCAGCCACCAAATACTGTACTTTCCTCCTATGTTTCCTGGAATCCAGGATCTCTTTGATCTTGAAGTGTTGTTCACCTTCAATGAGGAGAGGAATTGGAGGGGCAGCTTGGCCTGGTCGAAGAGGAGATACTGTACATCTCAGGTTTCAACAAGGTAACATGAAACATAGGGTGGATCTTTCTAAGGGTTTTGGGTAGCTCTAACTGTACAGTGACCAGATCTACAATCCTAACAATAGGGAAAGGGCCTAGATATTTAGGTCCCAGTTTCTTTGATTTCTGGGTGGTCTGTAAGTACTTTGTAGATAGGAAGACCCTGTCCCCTATTTGGACCTTTTGGTATAGCTCTTTTCTTGTCAGCCTGTCTTTTATGGGCTTGATGTGCTTCGTCTAGTGCCTTATGGGTGATGGGCCAAATACATTGAAGCTTTTCTATCCATTCCATTAGATTCATTCCACTAAGGAAGATATCTGGGGTTTCCCCTGAGACAATTCTGAAATGGGTACGAAATCCTGACCAGAAGCAACTTTAAATGGGGTGAAGCCGGTGCTACTGTGCATCAAGTTATTGTAAGCCATCTCCGCAAAAGCCAGCAAGTTGGCCCAATTGCCCTGCTGGTAGTTTACATAGCACCTGAGGTACTGTTCCAGAACCGAATTCCAACATTCACAAGCCCCGTTAGTTTGAGGGTGGTGGGAGGAGCTTAGACCCTGGGTGAAACCTAACAACTTCACAGGGGTTTAAGGCACCCTGTTATTAAGCTTATTAAGACCAGCTGCCTGCAATTACTGCAGGGTTCGAATCTCGCCAAGGCTCAAGGTTGATTCAGCCTTCCATCCTTTCTAAGGTAGGTGAAATGAGGACCCAGTTTGTGGGGGCAATAAGCTGACTTTGTATAAATATACAAAAGGATGAAGGCTATTGCTGAGCACATTGTAAGCCGCCCTGAGTCTTCGGAGAAGGGCAGCATATAAATCAAATTATAAAAAACAACTTCAGGAACTCCCTCCAGAAATGGGAGGTGAATTGTACCCCATCCAAAATGATGCAGTCAGGAACCCATGTAACCTATACACATGTTGGATAAACAGTTTGGCGAGCATTTTTGCAGAAGGGATCTTGGAGCAGGGTACAAAGTGCACCTGCTTGGAAAATAAGCCTGTGATCACCCAAATGACTGTGTTCCCCCGCTCTCAGATAGTTCAACAATGAAGTCCATAGATATTTCCTTCCATGGGGAACTAGGACTGGCCACACTCTGAAGGAGTCCAGCAGGCTTCCCGGGGGGGGGGGGGGCTCTTAGCAGAAGCACACACAGGACAGCTGGCCACGTAGGTTTCTATGTCTTTTTTCAATGAGGGCCACCAGAACTGTGACTTTGACTAGGTGTAAAGTTTTCATGAAGCCAATGTATCCAGCAGACTTCAAATCATGGGCCCGTTGCAGCACAGTTCCCCTAAGACTGGCGGGGATGTATAGTTTCGCGCCAATCCCTGCTAGGCTATCTCATATGGTGCACTCATTTGAGTGGGACAGGAACCAGTTATCACTTTTCAGCGCTTTTTTCAGCTCCTCGCTTAAATCACTGGGAAGGTTGAGATCTGCTTTCTCCTGGGCTCTGGTGACCACTGGGCAGCCAGTTGCTTGAAGGTGATAACTAGGCATATTACTTCTGGCCAAGCACTATTGTACTGGGGCAATCTAAAACCTCTGCCATAAAGTTCTTCCCCCTAAAAGGTAGCACAAAGAAAAATTAAAACAGTTAACAAATTTGCCCAACGAATTTGCTTGGGTGACAGTTTTTGGGGTGTTTTTAGGGCTTCCAGGTTTTTATGGTCAATCCACACCTCAAAAGGGTGTTTTGCCCCTTCAAGGAAATGCCTCCAAGTTAATAGGGCCCATCAGACAGTAAATGCTTCCTTCTTTCATATTGCCCCTCTCCTTTCGGTTTCAATTAATTTCCTGGAGGTGTAAGCTCAGAGTTGTAAGGCCCCAGTGGCATTTGCCTGTAATAGCATGGCCCCCACAGCTACATTACTGGCATCAGCCTGGACCAAGAAGGGGACATCCATGTCAGGATGTTTAAGGACAGATTCAGCTGCAAACAGCCGCTTAAGTTTCTCAAAGGCTGCTTGGCATTCCATTGTCGACTCGAGGGGATGGCTTAACCTCTCCCTTTGTCTTTGTGGTAATGCAATTTTAGCAAAGGCGGGGATGAATTTTCATTCAATAAAAGTTCACAAAACCCAGAAAGCTTTGCAACTGCTTTCTAGTGAGGGGGGGCACCCACTCCATGACCACTCACATCTTCAACCCAAAGCCTAACAAAATACTCTCATATGGAGCCCTTACATCTGCCTCTGTACATGCCTCCATTATATTGGTGCATATAACTGCCTGTCAAGTCTCCAGTTTGCACGCCCTTTCTCAAAAAGAGGAGGGAGGTGCATTATTATTTAAAAGGAATGTATATAGTCTCAGCTTATTTCTTAACAACAGAATTAAAGGAGTAAAGGAAGGGGAAATGATTTTACAAATGCAGAAAGCATTAATTTTTCTTTCAGATTTAGAACTAAAGGACTGCCTGTCCTTTTCCCACGCACACTTGCTAGTGTTCTATATGTTTAGACACCACAGAAAATGTCTAAAGGGGACTATTTTTGTTGTTTAAAATCATTCTAATTCCCCTCCTCCTCACACTCTATTGAAAGCACTTCCATTCTTTCAACAGGCAATATCTTGCTGCTTCTTTGCTGGTTCTTTTTGCTCTCAAACTAAATGGTGAGATGGGAAGTCAATGGAGCAAGTGGGATGACAGCCTGGCTTTACCCTATATTTTAGTGTAACTGGGGAGAAGAGAAATAGTTTTCATATAGCATTTTGCCTGTGTTTTCATGAGAGAAATTTTAAAATCCCAAATCAAAATAGTTGGTGTCACCAATGGGATTGGACAAGTGTTGTTTGCATTCCACAAATCTATTTTGCAGGGCTGTGGCAGGTGCAGACAACTTAATACACATAACCATTGCATCCATCAACTCTATACTTCTCTGCTTGCACTTTTGTTATCTCAAACACCAAAAGAATTAGTGTATTCACTCTGTCTCATGCAATTCAGAAGGGTCCTATTTGGAGGCAAACTACATTTTTAAGGGAGTATTTCAATATTTTTATTATGATTATGATCTACCATTACAAAACAAGACGGCCATTTGGAAGGTGCAGACAGCTTTTTCAAAATATTATGTACCTTTGGAAGGAGACTTTCCTGCAAGAACTCAAGATTTTCTTACTGTGCTTAAAGTGCCCCTTGACACTTTCTCAAGGAAAGTCATACTTTATTTCTTTATATATTTTTATATCTGATGGTTCAATAGATAGAGCTCTGAAAATGGGTTATCTGGACTGTTTCAATTTGGATTCACATTGGGTATGGCACTGAGACTAGGAGAATCACCTTTGTCGATGACCTGAAACAGAACTTGGATAGGAGAAGTGGACCCAAACTGAGGCTAAGTCAATCAAGATGGAGTGGATATGGGTTTAGATGTTGAGTTGGTTGAACTGGGGGTAAAACAATTGGTCCATTAATGGAATAAGATGGTGAGGAAGTAACAGACAATAGAAAGAAAGCAGAACTGCTTAATTCATTCTTCGCAGAAAAAGAAAATGCAACCCAACTTACCAAAAACAGAGCCGTAAAAGACAGACTAGAAAAACAAATTAAAATAAGGAAGAAAAGAGTAAGAGAACATCTGTCCACTCTAGATGATTCAAATCACCCAGTCCAGACAGCTTACATCCCAAAGTTCTGAAGGAACTGGCAAATGTGATCTTGCAACTGTTGTACATATCTTTGAAGTTCTTGGAGCACTGGGAAATTACCTGAGGACTAAAAGAGAGATGATGTGGTTCCCATCTTCCAAAAATGAAAAGGAAAAAAATCCAGACCCAGGAAATTACCAATCAGCCTGACATCAACACCTGGGAAGATCCTGAAAAAAGTTAATCAAGAAAGAGATCTGTGAACATCTTGAAGCAAGCAAAGTTATTACCAGAAGCCAACATGGATTCATCAAAAACAGATCATGTCAAAGAAATCTTATTTCATTCTTTGGCAAAATGTCTAAATTAGTGGACCAGCAAAATGCTGTGTACATAATAAACTTGAATTTGGCAATATGACAAAGTAGACAACAACCTACTTCTTGGTAAATGAGAAAAATGTGGGATAGACATCACCATTACTGATGGCTGTGCAACTGGGTAACAAACCATAGTCAATGTGTAGTCATTAATGGAACTATATCCACATAGAGGGAAGTAAGTACTCCAAGGTTCTATTTTAGGCCCAGTACTCTTCAATATCATCATAAATGATCTAAATGAGGGAACAGAAGGGGAATGCATCAAATTACACTAAGCTGGGTACAATTGATGAAATATATGTACTAATTTAGGGGCATGCACATATTTTTTGTGTACCCATTCATTGTGTGAGAAGGGGAGGTGTTTCCAAGCCACCAGGTACTGAGTGGTCCTGTGGAATTCCCTAGACTCAAGAATTTCCTGAATCTCAAAATGTTTACCCTCTACCATAATAGGGGGTGGAACAGGGGTAGTAGCCGGATGAAGATCAGAGGTGACTTCAGGCTTCAATAAGCTACAATGGAAAACGGGGTGGACTTGTTGTAATGATTTAGAGAGTTGTAATTCCACCATGACAGGTTAATAATACAAACTATGAGGAAAGGCTCAATATATTTAGAACCCAAGTTTTTAGACTGCTGCAAAGATTTTAGAAATTTGGTGGAAAGGTAAACTTTGTCCCCCAGTTTATAAGGTTTAGGTTCTGTTTGTTTCTTCTCTGTTTGTGCTTTATAGGCAGCCTTCGCTTCAATCAAGGCTTTGTGGACCACCAGCCAAATGGTTTGCAAATGACTAATCCACTGTTTCAAGGAGGGTATATCTGGTTCATGTGAAGGTAACTCAGGCATAGCATTAAATTCTTGCCCTGTGGCCACTCTGAAAGGGGTAAAATCTGTGCTAGCATGAACTGCATTATTATAGGCTGCTTCTGTAAAAGGCAGTAGTTCAGTCCAGTTGTCCTGCTGGTAATTAATAAAACAGTGCAGGTACTGTTCCAGAACTGAGTTCATTCATTCCATGGCCTTGTTTGTTTGTGGATGATGACTAGAACTAAGTCCCTGCTCAGTCCCAAGTAGATTCAAAAAAGCTTTCCAGAACTTGGATGTGAATTGGGACTCCCTGTCCAAAATAATATGTTGTGGGCCCCCATGCAAGTGGTAAATGTGGACCAAAAACAGTTAAGACAAGGCTTTAGCCATAGGGATCTTTTGGCATGGGATGAAATGAACCTGTTTTGTGAAAAGCTCTGTGATAACCCAGATCACTGTGTTTCCAGAACTCTCGGGCAATTCAACAATGAAATCCATGGAGATTTCTCTCCATGGTGCTGAAGGGTTGGCCACCGGCTGCAGTAGACTGGGGTTTTTCCCCTGCTGCGTTTAGTGGCAGCGCAAATGGGGCAGCTTGCTACGTAACTTTCTATGTCCTTTTTTAATGAGGGCCACCAGAATTGCCATTTCAGTAAACATAATGTTTTTACAAAACCAAAGTAACCAGCTAATTTGGAGTCATGACAAGCTTGTATAGTTCTCAGCCTTTCTCTAGCTGGGACATACAGCTTATTCCCCACCCAAGCTAATCCCTCTTTTATTATGCAAGTATGTTTATTGGTACTAAACCACTCATCCATTTCTAAGGCTTTTTTGAAATCTGTGGTGGTGACATTGTCTAAGGTGGAGCCTTTTCTTGGGGATGATTTATGCCAAAGCTATGGAGGGAGCATTTTTTGGATGTGCATGTGTGCAGGGCTGGTGGGGCTGATGAGCAACAGAGGGGGGATCTGGTTTAGGTGAGTAGGGTGGAGCAGGGAGGCAGAATTGTGGGGACTCCTTGGATCTTGTTGGCTGTCTCATTCATCAAAGTTTAATTTTGCTTGAAATGCGGGAGAGGGAGAAAGATTAGAAGCACCTGCATGATGGGTGGGCAAAATGAGGAAAACTCTTTCAGAAAGTGATCTATGAATGGGGGGTGGGATTTTCCTTTCCTTGGGTGGGATCATCCTTTCCTTGGGGATGATTTATGTGAGAACAAAGCAAACCCATTTGGTCTAACTGCATATCTACACACCGGTGGAAAGTGGGTTGGGTGAGCTATTGTTTTGGTGGGCAGGAGCTCTGTGGAAGCCCTGTAGCAGGACACATGGAGGAGGGAGGGGAGATCGCTCCTTCTTCCTTTGTGCCCCGAAAGTTGCCCCATACCAGGCAGGAGCAGCCCAGCAGGGCTGCTGAGAGCAGCATGGCCTGGAAGGGAACAGCCCAGCGAGGCCAGCAGCAGCAGGTGCAGCAGGCCCAGAAGCTGGGCAGAGGTGTTGGGGGGGGGGGAGAGGTGACCCCAATGTGCCGTATGGCCTAATTGTAGCAGCAGTCTGAGCAAAACCGGAGCTCCAGTGTCCCAGCAGCAGCAGGGCCAGCAGGCAGGGAGGGCGGAGGGTGGGGCATGCCAAGAGCTTGGTTTGTTGCAGCCGTAGGCAAGTAGATGTTGGGACAGAGAGTGGGGTCAGCTGTAGCAGAGCTCCCACTCCTGTCGGCCCCATGCTTGCTGCCTCCTGTAAGTGAAAAAAATAAGACACACCCAAAAATAAGGCCTAGTCCTTATTTTCAAGCCCAAAAGAAAATAAAACCAGGTCTTATTTTCAGAGAAACATGGTAGGTGCCTTGGGTGCAATTCCAAAACAATTGAAGCACCACTTAAACACCATCACCATCAGTCAATTGCAAAAAGTGATTTTATTCAGAACAACTTACATCCTGAGACAATATCTGTAATACTATGAAACATCCAGATCTGCCTATCTTAGGTCCTTGGAAAGGACTCAATAAGTAGACAAAAATGCCAAATCCAGTCTGAATATCTGGCTAACTGTGTAATGAACCATAATAATAATAGAGTTTTGAAGCTTTGAGAACAGCTGAAATCAGAGTAATTTTAACAGTATAAAATCAAACTGCACAATGCTTTTCTCTCTTTCCTTTTAAAAGGTTGGAGGTAAGCAGAGAAAGAAATTTTATTAATGTTATAGACCACAATAAATTCAGTAGAAAAGCTCCTACATCCTGTTCTGAGTTAACTGCTCAGCCTACAAAATGTAAGTGAAAACATACGCATCACTCCACTGTAATTTCAAACAGTATGGTTATTATTTTGTATAATTGTCATAGATATATTAGCTCTATGCTTTAAATTACATGAATCTGGAAGGAAATAATGAAGTATTAGAGAAGTCTACCTGCTTTCATTCCTGGAGCCAAACAACATTTATTTAGCATTAGCAATAATCATTATACCCCAGGTAGAAAAGGGAAAAAATGTTCCAGAATGCAATGCTGCATTTTTTTAAAAAATAGGATCAGAAAAACAAAAAGTTATACATGAATTATATTTGTGTACCCAGCATTACTCACCATCAGGGAAACCACCATCAATAATTGTTCTTAATGTGTGGTGGGTTTAGGTGACTGTGGAAAAGTATCGCAGAGAGAAGTTTCCTTTATCTTTTAAGCTGTGCAAGTGGCAAGTTATTGCATAGAAACTCAAAAATAGTGAGCAATAGCTGGCAGTTTTTAAATGAATTTCATGATGAAGCAGCAGAGAAACAATCATGTTTCTCTCTCCTAATTCACTGTACAGCTCTTTCCCACTGTTAGTTACCAGCTGTTCACCTAATCCAGATCTCTGATCCAAGGATCAGTTCAGAGACTTAATCAGCACAAGCAGACTGGTTCAAACAATTAGACACTATGACTGCCCAAAGCAAAATGGTCCTGTAGAAGGTTGCACATACCAGCTTTAAGTGACCAAAAGATATTTGTTTGTTTTCACCTCTATGATCCTGACAGTACCACCACAAAATAGTCAATAAAGTGGATCAGAACTTGAAACAAAAGTTTTTGGTAAATTAATTTCAAGTTCAAAGAATCAAATGTAACATTTTAAAGACTTCCATCCATGAATGTCCCATTATCTTGTATTATAACATTTTCATAAGTGACAAATATCAGTAATTTCAATTTTAAAGATATTTTGGATTTTCTGATATAGCTTCAGAATTGGTTTGATTTCAGAAACAAACTTCATCATAAATGATTGGCCTGATAAAGTTTACATTATTTGTATTAAGAAATCAAAACATGTTTAAACACTTAAACAAAATATGTCAAAACATGTTTAAGCATGTTTATCATGCTTAAACACTGTATTTCTGTTGATATGTATTAAGCAATTCTATCTTTAATTTATAGAATCATAGAATAGCAGACTTGGAAGAGACCTTTGGAGATCTTCTAGTCCCGTGATGGCGAACCTATGGCACGTGTGCCGGTAGTGGCACGCAGAGCCATTACTCCAGGCACACGGAGGCGTTGCCCGTTGCTCTTCCGGGTTCCAGTGAAGAAGAGCAGCTGCCTATTGTGCATGCGCACTCCAAGAAGATGATCTTCCTGTTTCCAGAGTGCACATGCGCACCGGCCAGCTGGTCTGGTTTCTGGTACGCATGTGGTTGCAAAGTCCAGCAATAGGCGCACGTGCCAAAAGACACAGAGAAGGGATCGTGGTGGTCGCTCCTAAGTGAGCAGAGCAAGGTAAGCCGGGGCTTTCCTCCCTTTCTGCTCACACAGGCTTCTTGCATGGCCCCAGGCGGTCTAGACCAGCAACCGGTGAGGGCGAGGTGGTGGTGATGGGCTGTCTGTGCAGATGACCCCGTGGCCTGGTCTCCTCCCCACTGGGAGCTGCCATTCCCTGGCTGATGGCCGCACTCTCGGCTCCGCCAGGGAAGTTCCAAATGCGCGGCTTGCCTGGGTTCCTTTCCGCTGGAAGCTGCAGGCCGAGCAGGTGGGGATAGGACTGGCTG